GCTGTATTGTAATCGCTAATGTTGGAGGTGGGACCTGATGGGAAGTGACCGGATTATGGCAGTGGGTCCTTCATGAATGGTTTAGCACCATCACCTTGGTGCTGTACTTGTGATGGTGAGTGAGTGACTTCTTACAAGATCTACTTGTTTAAAAGTGTGTAGCACCTCCCCTCATTCTCTCTTGCTACTGCTTCCACTATGTGAGATGCCTCATTCCTCCTCTGTTTTGTGCCATGATTGTAAGTTTCCTGAGGCCTCCCCAAAACCAGAAGCTGCTATGCTTCCTGTATAGCCTGCAGTACCATAAGCCAATTAAACCTATTTTCTTTATAAATTACCCAGTCTTGGTATTTCTTTATAGCAATGTGAGAATGGACTAATACAATCACTTTGCTTCCAAAATATCCTCCTTAGAATTTCTGCTTTCTCCACCACCTACCCTAAACCAAACCCACCATGTATAGACAGTAAAGCTGTGGGCTTTTCCTGCCTGAGTTGGGAAGATATAAAGTGGCAAGGTCCGTCTGCCTCCCCAGACAAAAAAAAATTACAAACTTGCTATTCTTTCCCAGTAGCAGTTTTCCATTACTTAAATAGTTCTAAAACTGTTGTTTCACTTTTGTTCATTTTCTAGTGCCCTAATATGGTTATTTTTTAAATTGTCCAGTTTTGTACATGTTTGCTACAGAATAAAGTTGCCCATTCTCTTCATGACACTATTTTGGGAAGTGGAATCCTAGTGATTTACTTTTAGAACAGATGTGGGTATAGATCTCTTATACCACCCCACACACAAACTCACACATATTGACCTTCTAATATACTTTTGCATCACACTACAATGTTTAGTAAAGTAAATATTCAGTGTTTACATTATTATTACCATAATACTACAATGGAGATGTTTCTTTTTTTGTTCAACCTTTCTTTTTTCCTTCCTGCAGTGAATAACAGCTTCAATCACCTTTTAGCTAATTCTTTCCATATAATTAAATGGTTTGTCTCGAGATTATCTGTCACATGTTGATATGGTTTGGCTCTGTGTCCCCACTCAAATCTCATGTCAAGTTGTAATCTCCACGTGTTAAAGTTGGGGCCTGGTGGGAAGTGATTGGATCATGGGAGTGGTTTCTAATGGTTTAGCACCATCTCACCAGTCTCATGATAGAGTTCTCACAAGATCTGATGGTTTAAAAGTGTGTGGCAGTTCCCTGCTCTCTCTCTCCTGCCCCCTTGTGAAGAAGGTTCTTGCTTCTTCTTTGCCTTCTGCCATGATGGTAAGATTCCTGAGACTTCCGAGCCATGTAGAACTGTGAGTCAATTAAACCTCTTTTCTTTACAAATTACCCAGTCTCAAGTAGTTATTTACAACAGTGTGAAAATGAACTAAAACACAAGTGGTCAAACAAATCAAATAATTTATCAATTCCACTTTATAACTAAAAAAAAAAAAAAAATCAACCATGTATGTTGGCTCATGCTTGTAATCCCAGCACTTGGAAGGCTGAGGCAGGAGGATCACTTGAGTCCTGGAGTTTAAGATCAGCCTAGGCAACATAGGGAGACCCCACTTCTACAAAAAATTAAAAATTAGTCAGACATGGTGGTATGCACCTGTGGTCCGAGCTACTTGGGAGGCTGAGGTGGGAGGATCACTTGAGCCCGGGAGGTTGAGGCTGCCATGAGCCATGATCATGCCACTGGACTCCAGTCTAGGCAACAGAGTGAGACTATGTCTCAAGAAAAAAAAAAAAAAAATCTCTATTGTAATCTTCTCTCCCATTTGCTTCAATCTAGGCTGCTATTCTCTAGGCCTGCTGCCCACTCCTTACCCTGGGACTTCCTTATCCTGCTTTCCTTTATTGTACACCTTGTTACCCAATTCTATGTCATCTCTTCCTAGATTGAATCTCTAGTTTTAGTGATTTATATTTTATGGTGAATTACTAAGAAAAATAAACCTTTGAGAATTGTGTTTTGAGACTTTGTTATTTGCAAAATGGCTTTTATTATTTTCATATTTGACTGACAGCTTGACTGTGTATAGAATTCTGGGCTGAAAATCTTTTTCCTTTCAAATTATGAAGGCACTGCTTCACTGTTTTCTGGCTTTCAGCTCTGGTGTTAAGACATTCAATGCTATTCTAATTCTTAATCTGTCTTATATTAACTGCCTTTTTCCCTCTGGAAACTTCATCTTTGGTGTTCTGAAATTACTCATTGCTGTGGCCTGAGGTGGCTTCCTTGCTATTCCTCTACTAATTACAGCGGGTACTTAGTGGACCCTTTCAGTCAAGAAACTGAAGTCCTAGCTCTGGAAAATAGTCTTGTATTTTTGGTATTTTTGTTATTGGATAATTTCCTACATTCTATTGTCTCTATTCTCTCTTTCTAGAATTTCTATAAGCTAGATGTTGGTTGTCCTGAAAGGCTCAATTTACTTATTCATTTCACAGATACTTACTGGGTACTCACTATGTGCCAGACGTTACACTAAGTGCTGAGATCATACTGATAGACAAGATAGACAATGTCTCTACCTTCAGGAAACTTAACTGATTATATATATGTTTTGTACTTCTTTAATTTTAATTTTCTTTCTTTCTTTTTTTTTTTTTTTTGAGATGAAGACTTGCCCTGTTGCTCAGGCTGCAGTGCAGTGGCGCGATCTTAGCTCACTGTAACCTTCGCCTCCCAGGTTCAAGTGATTCTCCTGCCTCAGCCTCCCTAGTAGCTGGTGTGTGCTCCCTCACCTGGCTAATTTTTGTATTTTTGGTAGAGACGAGGTTTCACCATATTGGCCAGGCTGGTCTTGAGCTCCTGACCTCAGGTGATCTGCCCATCTTGGCCACCCAAAGTGCTGAGATTACAGGTGTGAGCCTCTGTGCCCGGCCTCTTCTTTAATTTTCAATCTCTGTCTTTTGGTTTTAATTTCTGGCCTAATTCTTTACTTTTACCTTCCAATTCTTTAATTTTTTTTTTCTGAAGCTATTATATTTTTAAAATCCACATTCTCTGAATTATGGAAGCAATATTAGTTTATTTCTTCAAGGGCATTTTATTTTTTTTAAAGATTTTCTTCTGCTGCATACATAATGTGTTTCTTCTCAGTGCTTTTAATTTGCTTGCTTAATCATTTAATTGCCTTGGTTTCTTTTTTGTTGGAGATTTCCTCAAATATTTGGTGAGTCTCAATTCATTTCAACTTTAGTGTAAGGCAGTGAAATGCTGAGAGAAAGTTCTTGGGTATAGGTACAAGGTTTGTTGACAGCAGGATGAATGAATATAAGCTCTTTTTTTAAAGAGATGGAGTCTCCCTATGTTCTTCAGGCTGAAGTGCAGTAGTTATTCATAGGTGCAATAATAGTGCACTACAGCCTCGAACTCCTGGGCTCAAGTGACCCTCCTGCCTCAGACTCCCAAGTAGCTGGGACTATAGGCATGTACCACTGTGCTCAGCTTAACCTCATTTTTGTTGAACATCGATGTTACCTCATTTTTGATTGAATGTTACCAAAGAATCAGTGTCTACAAATCTTTTCTCTAGTTGGTATTCTTCCATTATTCAAAAAAAAGGGTATAGGAGAGGTCTTCCAATCTCCAACCTTGAAGCAAGTTGAAAATGAAGTGGGAAACCTAGAAGTCTAGTAGCTCTATATATACACTTTGAAATAATCATCCTGCTTCCAGCTTCTTGCCTCAGACTGCCTTCCCTGTTACCTGCTGCCTCCAAATTCTGACCTGTTTTGGGGCTCTACAGAGATTATTGGCCCACTCCTTATTCAAATGATCTACAGACACCAAAGCTGCAGCTCCCTCCAGGCTGCCAACTGTGTTCCAAAAAAGTTTGTTTACATCTCTTGTTTATGTCATTGTCATACCTTCTCCATTTCTTTGCCTTTGTTGATATACATCTTTTCATTCCTTAACTGACATTTTAACAGGACTTCAGGGAGAAAATAATTTAAAAATCAATTCACCTTATTTAACCAGAAGGCTTAACATTTTCTAAGGTATTGCTTCAGGAGCTTGCTTTCATTTTCCAAAAATGACGTTAAGGATGGTATCATTTACTAACTCATTTTTCCTTTCTGGCTCACCATGAACAAGTAACTATTTATAAGATTTTGATGATTAAACAAACAAGTAAGCAAACAAACAAAAAATCATCATCTGCCTTCCCTTAAGTACAATTGCTTCATGTAAATCACATCTTCTAATTAATTGTATTAAAAGTAATTATTCATCCTCCACAAGCTGACACAGCATGTTGCAGCTCTCTAGACACTGTAAACCATATCTTTAAATTGCAATGCATTTTAATTATCAGGATTTTCAGCATAATATTTTTAAGTAGTATAACAGAATTTACATAAAATATAATCAACGTTACTGGGAAACAAAAAGAATAAGGGACAAAGTACAAAACTCAGAATGTTTTTTCTTCCATTTCAACAGGTCCTCTTCCATCCCCAGCCCCAAAATACAGCCCCAAGCCAGATGGCAGCCAAGAAAAACAACTCCTCCATCTCTGGGCACCAATTCTTCTGACTGAGGAGTTGTGTTAAGAAAAAAGCTCTGTTTTGTGAGTTATCAGGAAGGTAAAATCAAAAAAAAAAAAAAAAAAAAAAAAAAAAAAAAAAAAAAAAAGAAAAAAGAAAAAGAGAGAGAGAAAGAAAGAGAGAAAAGCTCCAATTTTCTTTAAAATAGACCTAAGTACAAACTTTATACTATTGCTTTATATCTACAAAGAGGCTATGAAACACTGAAAATGACTCAAGTTCTTAATACTTAAAATTCAATACTCTGTACTTATGAAGGTCAAAATATACAAACTTCTTGGTATATTGGATGATATGTTAGTTGGGGTCTATTTTGAAAAGCACCAATTCTACAGCATATATTAATCATCTATCTTTCCTATATATTTACTATAAAATATCATTCTGGCTTTTAAACAAGAAGCCAATCATTTTGGCTTCTTGTTATGAAATTCTTACCTGATGACACGGTCTCTCCCAACATTACCTTGCAACGCTTACAAATTACTTTGGTATTTGCCTTTGGTTCCTGTAGAACAGAAAAATGTCATTTAAATGTCATTCAGCTTTTCTTAAAAGGAATATATAATTTTAACATAGTCCCCAGAGTATACATTGAACTTTACATTGTATTCTGCCCTCTACTAAATACTGGGAATACATTTAGCTTGTATGCATAATTCACATGCACAGAGATAATTTTTCAAGTCTTAAGAAACAATAAAGCACAGATTCACTTTTCCAAAACTAGCCACTTCTTGATAATCCAAAAGTTGCCAAATAATTTGAATTAAGTGGTACCTTACATTTCTAAAAAGCACTTCCAAATAGCCTTATAACTTAGAACAGGCAGATGGTGGGCAACAAAGACAGGGTTGATGACTTGCCTCAACTCATGTGTATAGAACACAGAAGAATCAGAACTTGAACTCACACTATTTTGATTCCTAGTCCAGTGTAATTTATGTAAAAGTAACCTATAATCCTTAACTACAATAAGTGAAAAGTTAACAATATATATTCTGTTCATATACTTCCATTTTTTCCACTTAGGATCGGCACGGTAACTGGAAAGACAGGTAGTGCTCTGGGACAATTCCTGAAACAATCCTAACCTTCAAAAATCTAAATTCATTATTTGAGACATAGATTAAAATAACTAGCATTTGCCTAATCAATAAACAAAGAATATGCCTTTTCACATCCATAATTACACCTTTGTTAAAACCATACAACATTCCTCTCGTCCAGATATACTGCAACAAGGCAGAAGCCATATAAAGTGGGCAGGGAAAAGGAGGTTCTGCAGCTCTGAACACACCAGGGTACCTTTCCTGGGAAATCACAGAATAGGTGTAGGCTGAAGTAAAGAAGGGCAGTGACTTCTGTTGTGGGATAATATGTGTATTTAATCTAAGGAAAAAAAATTTAACTGATTAATATACATTTGAGTATTTTTTCCTTGGCATAAATAATTTCCTAAAAAGTTGCATAAAAAGTACATTTAAACTGAGTTCCATGGACGTGCTGCTAGTAACTGACAGTTGATGTTTGAATCTGGGTCTTTCTGATGCTAAGGCTTCTGAACACTATGCTAAGTGTTTTCCAAATTACAGCTCATGTGCTCCATTAGTGGGAACCAATTCATGGAACCAATTCAGTGGATTACTGTGCTTTGGTTTTTTTTGGTCTATTTTATTTTGTTTTGTTTTGAGATGGAGTCTTGCTCCGTTGCCCAGGCTGGAGTGCAGTGGTGTGACCTTGGCTAACTGCAATCTCCACCTCCTGGGTTCAAGAAATTCTCTGCCTCAGCCTCCCTAGTAGCTGGGATTACAGGCACCTGCCACCATGCCTGGCTAATTTTTGTAGTTTTAGTAGAGATGGTTTCACCATCTTGGCCAGGCTGGTCTTGAACTCCCGAGCTCATGATCCACCCACCTTGGCCTTCCAAAATGCTGGGATTATAGGTATGAGTCATCGCACCAGGTCTACTGTGTTTTTAAAAAAGGAAATACAATAGAACAGAAAATATGATAGTGCTTCAAACACTGAGTAAGTACTGCTTCAAGAAACTTTTATTTGAGGTGTTTGTGTGTGTGTGTGCATGAGAGTGTGTGTGTGTGTGTGTGTGTGTGTGTTATCAGATCTTGATGTAAAAAAATACATTCAATGGCTGGGCGCAGTGGCTCACGCCTGTAATCCCAGCACTTTGGGAGGCTAAGGTAGGTAGATCATGAGGTCAGGAGTTTGAGACCAGCCTGACCAAAGTGGTGAAAACCCCATCTCTACTAAAAATATAAAAATTAGCTGGGTATGGTGGCACGCACCTGTAATCCCAGCTACTCAGGAGGCTGAGGCAGGAGAATCACAGGAACCTGGGAGGGGAAGGTTGCAGTGAGCCGAGATTGTGCCACTGCACTCCAGCCTGGGCGACAGAGCAAGACTCTGTCTATACACACACACACACACACACATACACACACACACACACACACACATATATATATTCAATTAGAGGTCAAAGTCAAGAGCAACAGCACAATTCATATTGGGGTCTTCCTCTATGGCCTATTCTTTCCCCCAGCCTCAAACACATGCAACTAGTAAAAAATCCATAAATGCCCACAGCTCTTCTATTTAGAAACTTTTGAGATGAATCCCTTCCTACACTGAATTAACCTTCAGTAACATAAACACTTATTCCATTTTTCCTGGTCTAGTGGCAGTATTTGGACAGATTCTGCAGCCTTTCTCAAAAGTCTCTGCCGAGGAAACAAAAGCACACGTGAACTTCATAAGTCAGTTCAGTCCTGGCTGAAACTTTGATCCAGGCACACTCCCAAAGTGGGCCCCACAGTGTGCCATCTCTGGCCATTGCATGACATCCTTATCAGGCACATCACAAATGGCAGGTCTCAGAGCCTGACCCAGGTGGGAAACTGGATGGGGTCATTCCCATGAGAGGTAAGAGACAGACACAGAAACCTAGGAAGGTGCCAATTTATTCAGGTCCAGTTAGAAGAGAACTCAGCCAGCATGGTCTACAAAGGGTGCCATTCTGGCAGTTTAATGCTTTCTTACAGTAAGACATACACCCGTATGGCTCCAAGTTGATATTAAAAATATTTTTTAAAGAGTACTATTTTGTACAAGTTAAATCTGATCATACTCATTAAATGTTACCAAAAACTAAGGGCTTTACTAAAAACTAATATTGGTATTGTAATAGCAAGGCTTGAGAATAAAGAATTTTTTTATTTGAAGCAGAAATTTTTTTTTCAAGTGCTCTGATATGTACTTCATTCATAACTGCTATCACAGAACATCTCACCTTGTCTTTCAAGGGGGCAGGAGCGTATTTTTTGTTTGCTTGTTTTTAAATAGATTCTGACACCTTATCAGACATATGGTAATCAGGATTTAAAAATCAGAGTCAACCAACAACCAAATTATTCTCAATCACATGTGGATTCTGGAATTCAACACCTAGTCAGTCAAAAGATACTTTTTTTTTTTTTTTTTGAGACGGTCGTGCTTCTCCGCGCCAAGGCTGAGTGTAGTGGCCGGATCTCGCTCACTGGCACTCCCGCTCCCGGTTTTCCGCCATTTCCCCCTGCCCTTTCAGCCTCCTATGTAGCTGGGATCAGGCGCGCACCTTGCCCGCTAGTTTTTTTTTTTGTTTTTTGTATTTTTAGTTAATGATGGGGTTCACCACCGCGTTAGCCAAGGGTGGTGTCGACTCTCCTGACCTCGGATATGCCGCCGTCTCGGCCCTCTCCAAAGTGCTGGGATTACTGGAGCCACCGCGCCCGGCCGCTATAAAAGATACTTTTAAAGACAATTGATAAAATCTGTATATGGCTTGGTATTGTATCATTAAGGAATTAATTGTTAATTTTATCAGGTGTGATGACAGTGTGGCTACATTTTTTAAAATCCCTAATTTTTACACATAGGGATAAATGACAAGACTGTTTTAAAGCACTGCAGAAAAAAAAGAGCAGATGAAGCTAACTAGTATGATGAATCCATATTGAAATTCACAATACTATTGCCTTTTTATAATTGTCGAAAATACTTAAGAGTTTGACAACACATTTTTCTAAGAAAACAAAAAAGACCCACTTATGGATTTAACAAAACAAATTACCAAAATCAACTAATTATTACTAAGTACTCCAAGAAAGAAAAAAAGATAAAGATGTTAGTCATCCTTGCTAGCAGTAATATTAATGTAATCAAAGATCAATTTTATTTGTTCTTTAAAAAATACAGTGAAGTCTTGAATAATATTTTGAATCTTATAAAAGGAAGAAATGCCATCTTTATCATCCCATTATTATAAGATACAATTTTTTTTTTTTTTTTTTTTGAGATGGTGTCTCGCTCTGTCACCAGGCTGGAGTGCAGTGCTGTAATCTTGGCTCACTGCAACCTCTGCCTCTCGGGTTCAAGAGATTCTCCTGCCTCAGCCTCCTGAGTAGCTGGGACTACAGGCCCCCGCCACCATGCCTCGCTAATTTTTTTGTAGTTTAGTAGAGATAGGGTTTTACCATGTTGGCCAGGATGGTCTCGATCTCCTGACCTTGTGATCCACCCGCCTCAGCCTCGCAAAGTGCTGGGATTACAGGCATGAGCTACCATGCCCGGCCCAAGATGCAAAATTTGTATTATGTGGGTGGGCACAAAATAGAACAAGAGAGATGATAAATGAATACATGAATAGGGAAATCTCCAGCAGGTATCTTTTTTAAAAAAAGTAGATACTGCTGCAATGACAAAGGCTCAAATAAAGTACTATACACTCTAAAAAGCTATGGAAGAAAAGAAACAGTGTTGGGCTTCACGTTTGTTTGTGCTGTTTTTAAAAGCAGATCTTTTAAATTAAACATATAACACATAAATTTTGTTTATAGAGAATCTCTGTTTGTAATGCATTTTTCTTCACCTATCCTTGAAGGAAATAATAAGGCAAGTTGTGTAATGAAGCAGCCTAACAGTGTGGGAACTCTACAGAGCAAACCTCAAAGACAGACATTGTTGTGGACTAATTAAGTCAATATATCTGAGACAGGGCAGGACTGCTCAGAGAGGTGGATTAGCCTTGTGTCCTCCCTTTTAGTTTCCCTTTGTGTTGTCTCAATTTCTAAGGACCCTTGATATTGTCTCACCAAAAAAATATTTCCCAAGAGATACCATTAGGATGCTTTGTTACTATGTGGCATTTCAAAACCCTGCTAGATGGCTAGACTGGGTGATAGGAGAAACAGGTTTTCAATAGCACAGAACAGCCTTGTTCCCACAGGAGCCTTGAGAGCACTGTTTACGCAGTCCCTCCAAATTTACGCTTCTATTTTGGTCACAGGCACACTCTTTGGACTGCTACAATATACAATTAAAGAAGGACTTTCATCTAGGCTAACTTGAAGAAAATCTTTTCAACAGCAGCTTGTCATGATAGTACAGAATTTCCCACAGTCTCCTTGATACTAAAACTGTAATGTCTAAAAATACGATGGGTCTTTCTTTAATGGATAAGATAGCTGTTTACTATGAAGAGAAATTCTTATAAATTGCATCACATAACTGATAAAGATGTAAATGTGAAGAATATATTTCAGCACAGAGTGCTGAGTTTATTTAAAAAGGGAAACATGGCTTCTCTCATTTAATCTTTCTCTACTACTTTTCTGCTCACAACTTCCAAATATTTTTAAAATGTATAGCTTAATCATAAAGACGAAATTTAAAACACATAAAGTATTAGTATATATTTAGATTAAAATACAAATTTAATTAATCATATTAAATATGACATAAATGTATATTAACTTACTCTTTACTTTTTAAAATATAAAATGTAAAGTACCACATTGCACCAAAGTGAACCATATTTAGATTAAGGGATTTCTGTTTACAGTGTAAGATGAGGCACTTAAATAATTTTCTTTGACAACAACTTAACGTCCACATTCGACCAGTTTCCTTCGTCTCCCTCAGAATAGTTCTATAAACTAATTTACAACCTAAGAGCTGCCCATCTACTGCATATTTCCTGCAGTCGCTCAGTTTCAGTTCTTATTACAAAAATTAAATGAGTTCTGAATGAAATTTAAAATATAATGTTTTCGTTCCCACCAATAATCAGATGTTAAAATGCTTCTCTGGCAATGATTTTCTTTACTTTTTAAATAACATCTGTACTGACTGGCCATCAGTGGAATGATTTCTCACAGGGCTAAGCCAATGCCATTGATTTTCTTTTAAAATAAAGTAAAACACGTGTTCTCTGCAGTGAGAGAAAATTGCCTTCTTCCCAAAGTAACCTACGCAGCAAGAACCACCTGACCTCACACTGTCAAGCACCAATTCAGACCCTGCAACACAAGCTTTATCTCCATTTCTGGGCTCCTCCATTCCTCTTTTTACTTGATGACATCTGCATTTATGACTTCAGCAGAAGTCTAGACTGTGGGCAGAAATAGTAAAATACCTCAGCCTAATAGTATAGTAGATATCCTGGAGCAACAGAACACTTTTAACTTAAATCAGACTACTCAGGATAAAATGCACACAAATTATGCAATATTGTCCTAAGAACAAGAAAGCAGGGCATTTTGTTTGTAAAATGGTAGCACTCCCAATTCTATGACTGCAGAGGTCTTCCTCTCCTTATTCTTCCAGGTCCCTGTGGCTGTTTTAGTTTAAAGCCATATGCTCTTCCTGTTTTGATAAAGCAGAGATAGTGATGACAGTTGAAAATAATGAATTTTGGCCTTTACAGCAGTCCATGTAACAAGGCCTTAATTAGGAAAAGATTGAAGAAACCAGTATCTAAGACAACCTCTAAATTAGCATTTAGTTTGAAATGATATTTTACCAATTTACAATGGTTGTCAGAAGAAACACAGCACATCTCCACTGGGGATAGTTCAGGTCTTGGCTGCCACAAACTGGTTCTTAAATTCACCAAGAAGAAAGAGTCTCCAATAAAACAGTCATTCTCTTGCGGATGAAGTGGTTTATTAGCAAAGGGGTCAGGATGACAACACCATTCTCCAACTAGAGCTTCCCAGTTCTCACTCGGCAGTGGGAGCACCCTGAGGAGCTTCCTAGTGGAAAGAGGAAAAATCATTTTTAACAGAACAAAATGGAACTAACATTCTCTTAATTAAATGAGCATAAAAGATGAAAGAAACTCATTAACCACAAGGTTTGCAATGCTAATTTTTCCTCAATTATAAAAGTAATATATACTCACTATAACTAATTTTGAAAATGCAAGGAGGTATAAACAAGGAAAAATCATCCTTTTATCTCACTACCCAGAGATAAGTAACTAAACATGACAGTGTATTTCTTTGCCATCCGTTCAAAAGATGTATCTGTACATATCACAAAGTTTGAGAATGGTGAATAAACATACTGTATCTTGCTTTTGTTGTTTTATTTAGATGAATCCTAATTAGTCCACAATATTCTATTCCATAATCAAAACTTTTGAGATCATTCCCTCAACCGTTAGATATTTAGATTTTGAGTTTTTCATTATCAATAACTCTCTGATGAATGTTCCTGTTAGAATATTTATGAACATATCTATTTTCCTTGGAAAGAATCTTATATAAGTGTGAGATGATAAGCACAAATTATATGCATATTTTAAAACCCACATCTATTTGGTGAATTTCTTTCCAGAAAGGCTGTGCCAATCTATAATTCTTCCACTCACCCTTTTCATAAATGAATACTATCATTTTTTCATTTCTGCATTAGTAATAGGTGAAAGTATTTTCAATGCTGCTTTAATTGGCAATTCTTAAATTACTGGTGAGATTCATCTAGTTTTTCCACTTATAGACCACTGTGTTTCTTCTGTGAATTGTGATTAGTGACTATTTTCCAGGGTCCGTATTACTATGTTCTTATTAATTTGTAAAAATGTGTTATATATTAAGATTATTAGCCTTATGTTTATTAACCTGTTACAAATTTTTTTGGTGTTACTGCTTTTTATTTTGGTTTACATGTCTTAACTGTCAAATCACCTAACAACTTTCTTCTATAATTTCTATTACCATATTTTAATAAACTTTTCATTTTGGAATAATTTCAGATTTATAGAAAACTTACAAAGGTAATATATTAGTTCCCATATACACTTCACCCAACTGGCCTTAAAGTTACTATTTTATGATACCATGGTAGATTTGTCAAAACTACACACTTTGAATTTCACCTGTTTTTCCACTAATATCCTTTTTTTCTGTTCCAAGATCTAATTCATGATAATACTTTGCATTTAGTCATCATGTCTCTCTAGTCTCGTCTGGTCTGTAACAGTTTCTCAATATTTCCTTATTTTTCAGAAACTTGAGATTTTTGAAAAGATCAGGTATTTTACAGAATATTCTTCAATCTGAGTTTGTCTAATATCATCTCAAGATTAGGCTGGTGGTATGGATTTGGGGAAAGAATCTCACAGAAGTGAAACGTACCCTTCTCATCACATCATATCAGAGAGTATCTCACATCAACACAACTTAGTGATGCTAATCTTGATAACCTGGTTAAGGTGATATCTGCTAAGTTCCTCCTCCTAACAAAACACAAACACTAGTAAATTAATGTACATTCAGATGTTATAAGTTAAAAATATTTAAGATGTGAATGCTACTTTTTTTTTTTTTTAAACAATTCCCCCTATTTTCCTTTGATTTCCCCAATCAACTGAGTCACATAAAAGGGCAATTACAATTCAGAAGAGGGTACACAATCTATAACTGCAGAGGACAAAGCTAGAAACAAGAAAGGCTGATTTTCGTTTAACATAGGGAAGAACTTTTCCTTTGAAATTAGTATATACTGCACCACTGGTATCATCAAGGTGCTGAGCCTGTTAAGCATACTGAGAAGTGATTCTTTCAACATACACTTCCTATAAGTCTACCATGAATAAGGCATTCTACTGGCACAAAATATGAACACATACAGTCATCTCTCTTAAGATACTCATGTGCTAGTAAGAAATATGGACCTATAAACAAATAACAAAAGCACATGTTATAAATGCTCGTAACAGAGTAATGGTTCTAAACTCTTGCAGTGGGTGGGGGAGTGTGTGGCACCAGGGGGAGCAGTACAGATCCCTTTGAATATTTAAGAAAAGTGTTAGCCTCTTTCCTCAAACATACATTTCTACAAGCACACAAAATCTGCATATTAATTTAGGGGATTCATGGATCCCCAAGACCAATCTATGAATTCAGGGCAATATATACAAAGTACTATGGGAATAGACTGTACATAGACTTCAGAGAAGAGGTAATATCTGAGCTGGCCTTTGAAGGATAAATAGTAGTTCTCCAGGCAATGAAAGGAATTAAGGGCATCATGGAAGAAACAATATGAAGGTAGATGCCATATATGTTTACTTTGCCACTGTATTTCTGTTGTCTTACATTGCTTCTAACATATAGCATGAGCTCTTAAATATTTGTTGAAGAAATGAACTAGTGTATTTTGATAACTAAAATGTGTGAAGCATTTCACACTGGTTGTATCTGTTGCACACTGGAATTCAGGGGTTAACAAACCTTTTCCCTTGCTGCTTGAGAATCTGACCTTTGGTTTAGCCACCTAGCTCTGTTACCCTGGAAACCAGGTAAGATCTTAGGCATCGACTATATTGCTAGGCAACACTGCTTACGGTAAAAATGATCCTTGGTTGGTAAACTGCATCTGAACCAGGAAGAAATATGAATGAGCTGTAAATGTCTGATAGGATACTTTGGCCTTCCCTGAATGCAGTCTCTTCTTGGGAACCCTACAAACTATATCAAGAATTGTTACAAGAAATACTGGCTGCTTAAGGCAGAAGGCGTTCTTCTGAGCCAGGGCAGCTCCCGTTCCTCCCTGATGTGGAGCTTATGCTTTGTACCTGGAACTACGCCGTGTTGGGAGATGACAGTCCCCAGAAAGGTATGTGAGCTGTCACTTGTGCAAACATGCAGCGCCCCTGCTGAGAGGAATTCTTGATGCTGCCCTGCTGGCAAGCTGGCAAAAATGTGGACTGTGGTAGCCTTGTGAGTCCACATGTTTAGGTAACTTAAGAAGACCCTTGGTGGGCACTAAACACACCTTATTTCATTTAATGCTCGCAACAACTTTGTGAGACAAGAAATATCATTTTCCTATACAGAGGAGGAAAGTGAGGCTCAGAAATGTTAAGTAATCTGCATAAGTTCACAGAATCAGAGGTGACCAGTAATGGCAGGTTCTTAGTTCAGGTCTTCCTGCCTCCAAAACCAAACTTTTTCCTTAGAATATATTCCCTGCCCTGGCAATGCAGAACAGCCATAGAGGAGACTTGGGCAGGTAGGATGGTGGCAAACTGTGTGGGGTGTTCTAGGCCACGCTAAGGGGTAGGGACTTGGTACCTCAGGTGCGTAGGAAGCATTACAGAATTTTAAGCGGAATAACAGGTCAGATTTGAATTTTACCAAGAAGAAGCAGAAGAAGAAAAAGGCAAATAAATTGCCTGTTTAGAGTGGGAGGGAGTTAGGCCTAAATAGGCTCCTGGACTTTCTCCACCATTAAGATCTTTTGTCTCCTGACATATTGCATGTAGTGCCAATAAACAAACCCTCAATACAGTGCAAGAGACAACAATGGCAAAATCGCCTACATGATCAGGGAAATAAAATTGCCCCAAGATTTACAGAGATCTGGGAGACAACTCACATTAACACAAAATATGATATTTTAAACTTAATGTGACTACATTATCATGTGAATAAAAGCTATAATATATCCTATAACCATCTACATAAGACACAAGAAGCAAGAAAGTGCCTAATCTGTAAGTCATTGCAAAGATAAAAGAGTTTTTAAAGCAGAAAAAAATTTTTTTGATGTTTTGAAGAAAACATAAAACATTTCAGAACAAAAGATTTTAATCACTGCTTTACTGAAAGCACATTTATCTAAAGCCCTGAAAAATAGACTTTGATATGATCTACTTCCCAAGAGAACTTTCAAAATAAAATAGATACCATCTTTTTCAAAGTTAGTTTTTAGGTAGAATCCTAGTGGAGCTCAAAAAAACAGTGAAATGATTTCCTGAATTTTCTCTCAGCTTAAGATTCTATAATGAACAGCAACACAACTTCACAATAAATTAAAATTTCCTAGTTATTTTTAATGTACCATGAGTGCAGACTTTTAGGAAACTTAAAATATACAAATGATATCGATGTTTAATACTTAAACATATGCAGAAGAAGATGTATGCCCCTTAACTTTAATAGAGGTAAAGAAAAATGAAGAATGTGAAAATAAAGAAACATACAAAAGAAAAAAAAATTATGCTCCTTAGCTTTAAAATGAACCATTAATCAGTGATAAGATAATAAAAATGGTAATAACAGCTTTTACAGATTGGATTATAACCAAGCGGACATTAAGAATATTAATAACATCAACTATCTAAAGCTCAAAATATGGCTGCTGGAATTAGATAAATTCAGGTGACATTCTCCGACTGGCAGGCCACAAATCCTATAAAACTAGCTTAGCACTTTAATACTACTACGTACATAGTATGATTAGAGCCATAAAAGTATAATTTTATTCCAAAAGTTTGTACAGTGTTACCAATAGTGCAGTTGGTGACTGTACTCTTTTTTAACCTCTTTGTAGAAATGTGACTATATTCTTGGGGGTAGTTATTTTCAGGTTACAATTGTAGCTGGTCTGCCAAGTGGCTCAATCAAGTGGTTGGATATCCTGACATCTCATGTTTCCAAAGATCCCATCTTGCTGGTTTCCCTCCAGGGTGTCAGTGCCCTCATGAGATCTAGGCTGACACCTAGCACTACCCTGCCAGCACAGGGAGAACAGGGCGAAACATCCAGAGACCTCAGGAGAGCCCCTCTGTTTCAAATCATCTGAAAATCAAAAGGCTTGAGTTTGAAAGTTTGGCCAACTGATTTCATTCATGTATGAGATGAATTTATTTCTAGAATATATAAATTCCAAACACAAGGACTATTTGGCTGTTTGTTAGACTATTCACAACAAAATAAATTTCATTATTGTTGCTGGATATTAGGGCCCGTTAATCTTAACAAGAGCATAATCAAAAATTACATACATTCACACACATTTTACAGAAAAACTGTTAATCTGGTAAAATGTAAATTGGAGAATTTAATTATAAAGAAATGAGGCATTATTTGGTTTCGAATAACCACAACAAATAGCTAAGAACAAGTGACCTTAAAATTAGGCGCTGCTGTAATTAGCAGGTATCACGTGCCCTGGTGCTAGTATTTAAAAGCCATTAATGAGTCTTACTGTTTAAACTGTCCTCTACATCTTATTTCTATAATTAACAAGAACCTTTTTTATTTAAAAAAAAAAAAAAAGAATAAGCATTAGTCCCACACTACGAAATAATCATGAATCACAAAGTACATGAAACCGCAAATACAAATGAGGTTCATTGATCAGGGAATTTTCATGTTTCATAGCACTCTAACAGGTTTATCTAATCCAATGTCCTCATTTTACAGGTGAGGAAACTGGAGCCCAGGAAATTAACGTAACATGTTCCCAGATAATAAGACTAGCCAGTAAGCAGATCTTAACTCTGTTCCACTGCCCCTACAGAGATGCTCCCAATACAGATAAATCAACATATTCCAAGGTATCTTCCTGGGAAATATGTTTACAATTAGTTGATTTTTGGCACACACATGCTCTTTTGAAAACCTTTGGTCTTGTTTTCTATTTAACGAGCACAAAGTTGTCCTTACCACTCACATAAAACAGATAACTGAGGGAGAAATAAGAACAACACTGGGTTTGACATTAATGGTCAACATGAAATCTATGTGCAGATACTTAAGGAAGCATCTTTATCCATACAACTCAGTCAAAGGGCAAGCTACCTAAGAGTTAAAGGTAAGCAAAGCCTTGAGTCATTTACTAAGGATTTCTCTGCATTACTGAAGAGGCATGCATATGCCAGGCACACAGGTGTGACATAAAAAGGTTTTTGGGTAAGACTTGATTAAATGAGGCAAAGGCTAAGTCAAGTCCACTGTTTCTCAGCGAGAAAAAGAGAAAGGGAATTCATTTCCTTGGCACATGCAGAGTATGCGAATCACAGTCTTGAAACAAAAAGGTTTGAAACACTAAACTAGATAATTTGCTAGTTTGCTAATAAGAACAATTTGGAAAAGAGTGTAGAAATCTATAAAACCAATTTAAAAGACCTTGTTGAGCATTAACTATTACATATGTTATATCCTTTAATTCTCTTGACAAGTTTGGAAAATAGGCCTTATTAGAAGCTTGTATTAGAAGAACCTGAGGTAGTACAAACACAACTTTCCAGCTACTAAGTCATGAAGCTGGATTTCAAACCCAGGTCCCATTCTCCTGCTCCTGCCTTCAGGGCCAGACGATGGTCAGGGTTAGGGAGAGTGAGTGCTGCCCTTTTAGTTCTCAGTTCCATCACTGTAAAAGGGACTGACACAGAAGATACAGTTCTTGAACAGAAAAAATGGGGGCAACAGATACAAGATTTTTCATATTATCATCCGTTCCAATGTAACACAAATAACCGCCAATAATGAGCAGCATATCCTTTACTGCAAGCAGCACCCAGAAATACTGTTACACTGATTTAACATGTTCCAACTGTAACTTCTAGGAATCCCCATTGTTGTCTAGGAATGAATGTTTCAGAAACTTCATCTGAGAATTCAACCAAAGCCTAAAATAGACTGAGAGAAGGAAAACACTCTTGGTTCAACCACAGTGTAAACTGAGATCCCCTGAACCTTTCAGGATAAGGTGGGCCTGTCACCAAGTACATGCAGTAACTTCAACACTTAGGTAATCCAAGCAAAGATGAGGTTCCCTCCTCTGCAAATTTAAAGTCACCTCATTTCTTACTCAAGACAGTCACTCTGAGGATCTTCCATTTGTAACCTCTCACTTATGCCAGAGTAACTCTGTGCCATCTCATCTACCTGGGACACTGCCAGAAATCAGGAAGCAAGCAAGAGAGGTTGGTAGAAGGCCAAAACAAACATGTCAACGTTTATTCAATTCAACCCAGCAAAAATTGATTGAGAGCACACTATTTACGAGGGACAGTGCCTGATGCTGCGGATGGGGATGATGATGATGATGATAAGAACAGTAATTATCGCAGTAGCTAATACATATGGAATGCTTGCCACGTTGCCACGTGCCAGGCACTGTCATAAACACTTAAACTCACTCGATTCTCCTAGCAACCCTATGAGATAGGTCCTACTGTTAGCCACATTTCTGCAGTAAAAGAATTGAGGCACAGACTGCTTAAGTAACTTGCCCAGAGTCACACAGCTAGTAAATGTCAGGTGCAAACCTAGTTACTCCGGCTTCTGAGTCTGTACTACTAGACAGACTCAGAAGGGTCTACACTGTACTGCACTCTCAAAAGAGTAGGGATAAAGGATACAGGGGACAAGAAGATTATCTGCACTCTGAAAGCCTACAGTTTAGTTGTGAAGACAGGCAAATAAACCTTAGAGGAGCACCTAAACCAACCCAGGGTTGACAGAAGGCTCATAACGGTACCTGTCCTGTCAGCTGAATTCTGAAGTTCAGGTAGGAGCCAACCAGGGGCAGACAGGGTGTGGGGTACATTCCTCCAGGAAAGGAAGTCACTTGCATAAGGCCCCAGGGTGAAAAAAATCATGAAAAGACTATAGGGCTGCACATTGATCACCAGAGCTGCGTACAGAACACCAGTCAATAATGGCATGTTTTTTGGGGGAGGAGGAATAGGTTGGGAGAGACATAAAATGTGAGGGTGGAGAGGTAAATAGAGGTAAACTCATAAAGGTCCTAATGTAGCATGTTTCTGGAATTTATACTGGAGAAATGGGGGGTCATGGAGGGGTCTGACCAGTAGAGCCTGATGCATTTGAGAACAATTACTTAGTTGTGCTAAAATAGGTCAGACGAGAGGACAAAACTACAGGGAGGCTCAGTGGATGAGGAGCTGGTGCAACAAGTGTAATTAGGTGAGAAGACAGTGGCCTCAACTAAGGTAGAGGCACTGGGGTGGAGGAAAGTGGACTTATGTTAGACATGCTATGAAAAAAGTAACAAAAGAACTTAGCAACTGACCATTTATGGGGGGAGCCCCTTAGAGCAAGCTGATCCACGTTACAGCATATGGCCCAAAGGTTTTGAATGTGGCCCAACACAAATACGTAAACTTTCTTAAGACATGAGATTTTTTTTGGCAATTTTTTTAAAGCTCATCAGCTATTGTTAGTGTTAGTGTATTTTATGCGTAGCCCAAGACAGTTCTTCATCTTCCAGTATAGTTCGGGAAATCTGAAAGCTTGGACTCCTCTGCCTCCAGAGGGAGGAACTCTGTCTACACCAGGTTTCTACCTTGAGGACACAGGCAGAAGTACAGCATTACTGAGATAAGGAACACTGGAAGAGAAGCAGGTTTCAGATGGGAAGGATCCACTTACTTATAAGTCTTAGGAACCTGGCTCAGGAAACCCATCTAATAAAGAACTCTAAATTCTTTAAATATTATTAACGATAATTAGGATTTAATCTGTCTCCCCAGCCTATGAATGACTCGTGACTGAAGTTTTAGGGGGAAGGGTTTGTGCCCAAGAAACAAGAAGGCTGACATGAGGAAGAAAGAAGACAAAAAAAGGAAAAAAAAAGAAATTAAAAAGCCTTTGGGACTGCAAAAAAAACCGCCAAAAACAACAACAACAACAACGACAACAACAAAAACCAGCAAAGAGTCCTTCCCATCTCAACAGGGCAATCGCAGCACATGGCAAGAATAAATAATAAAATTAACGTAATCATTGAGAAAAGGTTAATTTGTGCTCTGTATGCTCTGTTTTAATAAGCAGGAGAAATAGGAAATGGATTTCAGAAAGGCACTGATAAAAATAGTTCAAATAAAAAGTTTTTGTGCAAAAGCTTCTGTTATGTGGAAAAAATTACTGAAATGTGGAAAATGTCACTCAGCATCGTGTTGGATGAAACATATGACAGGTCCCATGTTTCTTTTCAGGAGGGAGGTGCTTCAGTGATCAGCACAGGTTTTCAGCCGAGATAAGCTCTCGTCTCTCAAAGCCAGCATCCTAGTGCTCCCCTTTATGTCCCTAAGAGCTAATCACTCTGATTGCTAGCAAGTTTTGTGGCTGATTTTGTTCCAAGTGACATTAAGCTGGCTCTCACTTTAAGGCCATATACTACCCCATTGGCAATTTCTTGAAAAATTCTGATAGAAAAAGAGATAACCATTGCCAGGCATGGAATTAATCAGTGTTAAATATATTCCTTACCTGTCTTTTATTATGACTTCACCACAGGATTGGCAATAAAATGTGCAACATTCTCTGGCTTGCGAGCTTTGATTAAACATTGAAATCAGTTCTAAAGGAAGTCAATGAAATAGCTAATCTTAGAGATTGAAACAAATATATTATCATACTTAAACAGTTCAATAGCCACAATAAATTACCATCCATAAACAGTTTATGATCCACCCAGAAGTACACATTTAATTAATACTATCTGATGACTCAAGCAGAAGCAAATATTGTGAAGTGTTTTTGAAAACAACAGATTTTGCTAAGTGTTCCAGAGCTAGGTGCTCCCCTAGATTACGCATGTAGCATTTGTTAGTTCTCTCATTCTATAAATACCAACATTAAGGATGAGTGAAAAAGAACTATTTCCTTCTCATCAAGCTAACTACATAGCTCTCCAACATTCTCAGCTTTCCTCTGCTATGTCTCACAATAGTGTTTCATTGGTGTGAACAAATAGAGCTCTTAAATTTGAGTTTCATTTTTTGTTGTTGTTGTTGAGGCAGAGTCTTGCTCTGTCACCCAGGCTGGAGTGCAGTGGCACGCTCTTGGCTCACTGCAGTCTCTGCCTCCTGGGTTCAAGCAATTCTCTGCCTCAGCCTCCTGAGTAGTTGGGATTACAGGTGCCCGACACCACGCCCGGCTAATTTTTGTATTTTTAGTAGAGATGGGGTTTCACCATCTTGGCCAGTCTGGTCTTGAATTCCTGACCTCGTAATCCACCTGCCTTGGCCTCCCAAAGTGCTGGGATTACAGGCGTGAGTCACCATGCCCAGCCAAATTTGAGTTTAATTTTATTTAAACAAGGTTTATGTCCAATCTAGCATATTACCAAATGAACAAAGATCTCAAACTAATGTTTATTGGACACCTCCCTGGGAATGGAATGGCTCCAAAAAGAGTCCAGTTATTCCAGAGCAAAAGTCAATGTCTAATGAAAGCTATGGTAAAACATTGAAAGCTGTGGGGAAAAATGTATATTTCTCACACTATGGTAAGAGCAGCATAAGGCAGCATGTTCCCTTAGTTTCCATTATTTCTTTTATGAAATAAGGAAACTTTCATTTAAAAGAAACAACTAAAATATGTCTGTAAAAATCTAATTAAACGAATGAGCTCATATCCATCAGAATCAAGCAATGTGGATCTGGTTTGTGTTTTTCTGTATACAAGATTAAAAAAACTGATGCTAGAAGGTTTATGCCTTGGCAATTAAAAATCTTAACAGTTTTTAAGGGGTGGTCAGAAATCCCTATAGCACTAAGGTGAAATTAACCGTATTATTCTTTAACTTTGAGTAGATTAAAAGGAGACCTAGGAATCCAAAATATTCTTTCCAGACCCACAAACAAATTTTCAGTGAAACACTACCCTCTGCTGGTCACCCAGCATGATGCACTGGGTCGGGTTTAAAACTCAGAGCTTCTGATTATAGAGGAATCCTGGGAGAGTGTTGCTGCCAGGGATCAATCTAATGCGCGTGCTGTAATAGATCCTACTGTAGCTAGTTCCACATTGAGGGTCACAGTTTGACACTCAAAATAGCAGTATACCAGTATGATGTTTGCTATAGTTGTCCTTAAAAGGGTGTTCTTAGCATTGAAAAGTCATCTTTTTAAAAATGCTGAAACACAAACTGAATGCTAAAACTTTCAAGTCACTTCCTACAAAACAGTTTGATTCAAGTTCATACCAGTACACATCTATTCATATTTATTAATTCCGCAAATATTTATACACCATCTATTATATGGAAAGCACTCAGGCAATTAAGTGCTGAGGAATCTGTTTTGCATACTCTTTCACGCACTACGGAACAGGCCTTTGGTAGTTTTCCTTTTCAGACATTTGAGTAAAATATATTAAAAGTGTAAAGAAATAGGAGACCAATGAACACAAAAAATATGCCAATCAGCATATAGCAATCAATTTATTTTGTCCTATAGTTTAAACAATGTTTCTGGACTTAAATTTTTAAAAACAATTCCAGTTTTGATATTTGTATATTCAGTTACAGAATACAGAATATGGATGGGCAAAAACCCAATACTATGTCCCTGGTGGTCTCTATTCCTCCATCTCTAACATCACAGCCCCAGAAAACACTCCACTGTGGCTTTCATGCTTGCCTTTCCCAAATCGCAGGATCCAACACAAAATTCCTGCTGTGGTTACTCTTGTAAAAGAGGTAACTGTTGTGAAGGAGAAGGTGATGACAACACAACATCCAGCCTCCCATGGCCTCCTCCCTGAAACAAGACTTTCTCTGCCCATTATTCGGTGCACTCAGGGAGTCTACTTCCCAGCTTGGTGGTTATTCCAACAGTCATTCCTAGTATTCATCCTATAACATTTAAATGCCATGACATCCATCTCTTTTCCCTACCCCTTGTTCCTAAAACCAACCCTGTCCAACTCAAACCAGTTATTCACTAACCCAGGACTTGAGCAAACATTGCTCTCCAGCAAAAAAGAAATGAAACCCTCTCTATCTTCTCTTTCCTCACAAAAGCCCACAATAGAGACTCAGGGGAATACTCAACATCTTCTAAATGGCTCTTCCAAACACTCCTGCTGACCCCATCTCCAGGATCCACACTGCTCAGATAAAAGGTTTATTACAGATGAGGCAGCAGTGAAGTGTCAGTGTGCAGCTGAAAGAATTACAATCTTTCTCTGATAATAAACATAAGTCTTTTACAGCCTGTTTCCCCCTTTAACATAATTTTAATCCCCCAAAGCATATAGTACATCTATTGTAATAGATGTAATGAGCCAATAATTTTATTCAATAAATAACCCCGAGGTCTTAGAAAAAGCAAATTTTCTACTGCCTTACCGAATCATTATACCAGTTACAAAATGTTGTAAATATAACAGGCATAGTAAAAATCAAAATCAAATTAAGTGTCAAACTCAACTGCACGATCCTTTGTGTACTGTTTTCTCTATTTGGAACTGTCACCACATGGATAGGATTTCCTTATTCAGGACTCAGGTCAACCATCACCTCCTCACAGTGGCCTTCACTGATCATCCTTTAGCAAACCCTAGTCACTCCCTATCCCATTATTCTGTTTTATATTATCATAACACTTTTCTTAATATTTAAATTGTTTGCTCATTATCTGCTCCTACCAATTAGAATGTAAGCTCCATGAGAGCAGACACCTCCCCTACCTTGTTCAATTCTGTATCCCCAGCACCTAGATTGATGCCTAGCACATAGCACAAACCAAAATATTTGCTGACTGAATAAATTTCCATGTAATGCTTTAAAATCAGTCAGGTCTTATACACTTGCCATCTGATTTAATCTTCCCATCTGTGAGCCAGAAAATTTTACAATTAAAGAAACAAGGCAGTGGGTAAATGGGAAATCTCTACACCTTCTGCTCAATTTTGCTGTGGGTGGAAAAGAAAGAAGGGAGGGAGGGAGGAAGCCTCATAAAGGTTAAGTAACATGTTCAATTGCATACAGCCAATAACTGGCAAGGCTGACAAAGACCCTACAGCTTCTCAACCCCTTCACCTGGGAAAAGTTCAAGTTATCAAAGGAAAAATCACCTTGGTTCATAACTAAAAGGTAAATACAGAAGCAGAAGTGCTAATATTACTCACTTGTGCCTAATTCTGCTTGCGCCTGCAGCCGCAGGTGCAGTCCATCTCCAGTAACAAACTGTAGCCCACGGCAAGAGGAAGGTACAAGCCTGACCTCTGCTGGAAGCTGGATTTCTGTGCAGCCTTCAGGGGTTTTCATCTGGAGTGAAGATGGCATTATGGAAATATCCATGGGCATACCTCCTTCTTTCGGTTCTCTGGTAATTAAAAACAAAACCCACACAAATTATTTCTCATAATGAAAACCACATGATGAAAGAAACAAATATGGCCAAGGATCTCTTTGTTCCTCTTCAATAGAGGCTCTAAAGTCACTGCCCCAGAAAAACAGCAGCAAGCAGATCATAAAGGAAAGCAACCTACACTAGATTTAGATCTGGTCAGAGAGTGCCCTTCATTGTCACCGTAATATGCAAGTTCCGGGACAGACTTTTGGTTCTTCCTTCTGAGAAGAGCACTAAAATAACGTTTTATAGTAAATCAGAGCAAAGTACTGTTATTTCATATACAAGATTTTAATAAAGAGACCAAGATTCGGTGAAACAAAGATACAAGAGAAAAATCTGTCAATTTTAAGAAAAGGAATTAATGAAGAAAATAATATAGTGATGTATGAATATCAGGTGTGAAAGGACTTACTAATACAATTCACAGTAAACAAAAATTACTCAGTATAGGCAATAAAGAGTAAAACACAGTCCCTATCAAAAGCCCCCAGATGTCAAATGTATACAGGGGACAAAGGCATGTATGGAAATGACCCTCCTCTGAAACTGCAATAGGCTTAGCATTGCAACAGAGGTACAAAGTACCATGGCTCCTTATTAAGTGCAAACAGCAGGCCATCCACATGGTGTCAACTAAGTGCAGAGAGCAAGTCATTTGCTTGAGTGTCATCTGAGTACACAGGGCAGACGATGTGTTCAGGTGTGAATCTTGGTGAGGCCTCAGAAATCTGCCTTAGAAAATCTTACAACTACTTTCTGGCTAGTTCCTTTTCAAAGCATATGGATCTGCACTTAATTAGCAATACAGAATATTAAGCACCTGAGTTTTTTGAAGGGCCAACAGCTTCAAACCCGAGTCAAAAGTCCAATTTCAAGAAATGGTGTTTAAGCAATAATGATCGTCTAAAACAAGCGTCAGCAACTTTTTTTCTGTGAAAGACCAGATAGTAAATATTTTAGGCTTTATGAGCCATGTATGGTCTCAAAGTAGAATACATATTCTAATTTTTATTTTTTAAAAAATAACCCTTAAAAAATGCAAAATCAGCAGGTTGAGGTGGCTCACTCCTCTAATCCTAGCACTTTGGGAGGCCAAGGTGGGAGGATGGTTTGAGCCATAAGTTTGAGACCAGCCTGGGCAACATAGCAAGACTCTGGCTCTACAAAAAAAATTTAAAAATTATCTGGGTATAGTGGCACACACCTGCAGTCCTAGCCACTCAGGAGGCTGAGATGGGGAGGATCACCCGAGCCCAGGAGACTGCAGTGAGCCATGATCATGCCACTGCATGCCAGCCTGGGCAACAGATCAAGAACCTGTCTAAAAGTAAAAGAAGATAAAGAAGAAAAATCCAAATCTTAGCTCACAGGCTGCACCAAAACAGGCTGCAGGTAGGATTTAGCCAATGGGCCATAGTTCTCTGACCACTGCTCTAAAAATAACACAATGTCCGTTTGCTGCTTCAATGACTTTCAAACTAGACTGTGTAGAGTTGACACTTCTAAGTGCTGCAAGGGTTACCACTGGGTTCCTAAGTATCCATTGCCACCCTATCTCTGGTTTATCACATTTCTTCCCAGTCCCAAAAACTTTAGTCATTTTATAGGGCCAAGCAAGGGAGGCATCAGTGCAAGGATGGTGACACAGTGGCCCAGCATGGATATGAGAAACCAAGCAGGCTGTGGAGGGCATCCACCAGGAGGACCACTCAGCAGGGGTGTCAGATCCCAAGACAGGTGAGGAGGAAATCTGAACAGGAGGTGAGGCCAGCTCAGGATGGGGTTTCAGAGCCTGTCTTAGCTCAGCTGCTATAACAAAATACCATAGATGGGTGGCTTAAACAACAGACATGGCAGACAAAGGAAGTTCGGTGCCTCTTCCTCTCCATATAAGGACACTAATCTCATCAGGGGGGCCCCACCCTCAAGACCTCATCTAAATCTAACTACCTCCCAAAGCCCCATCTCCTAACACCATCATTTTGGGGGTTAGGGCTTCAATATGTACATTTTGAGGGGACACAAACATTCAGTCCATAACAGGGTCCAAGCAGGTGAGGAGAGCGTCAACAATGAGCAGGGGGAGGTGGCAAAGGATGCCAGCGGACTATTAATTACATAGAGGGAACTGACCAAATAAACAAATGCCACTAGGACAATGAGGGCCATGATTCTTACTGTGGGAGAATGGAGTTACAAAAAGAGAAAGGGAGGAAACTAGAATGGACCTTATGGTGGTGGGGCAGAATACCTGTAGAAATACCTGTGTGAAGTCATGGTTTTCAATGTTTACAAATAGATACGGTAATATAGATAGCTGTAAATGCATGTATGTACATATGTATGTAGGCACAACCATACATAAACACCATATATAAGTTATACACACATACCCTAGTTCTGGGAGAAGCAACACTCAATAGTGATGAGTACACCTCGTGCCCAGATCTTGGTTTGTAAAGGCCATTTTCTGCTTTAAAAAATGAAATGAACAAACCAAAAACAAAGTTCCTTGGTAAAATGACTACATCCAGCACTGTAACAGGGAAAGAATGAAATAAGCCTGGAACATGTTGCTAGAACATGAAGAAATCAAAGAATGACAGGGACATATCAAAAAAGATGCAGAAACCATTCAGAAAGGACTTCCTTGGCCATGTCTGGTATAATATGAGCAAAAGAGTAGCCCATTGAATAAAATAAAAAATAAAACCCACTGAGTAACCCACAGTAAGAATCATGTGTCCTTACCGATACACATAATTGAATAAAATGAAACTCTAATGAGGAACACGGTATTTACATAATTTCAGAATACCCTTCAATTATTGATTATGAAGAGAAAAAGAGTAACTTTAAGGTAGAGAAGCCTGGCACACACTCTTACTTAAGTGCTCAAAGTTAACATAACCAATTTGATGGAACAAAGCAAAATCATGTGCCACCTAACAGGAAGCGTCACTTGTTATATTCCTGCCAAAGATGCAAAATCTGAATCTTGTCTTGAAGAAACATAAGACAAATCCAAATGGAAGGATATTCTACAAAATGATTGTACTATCATCTTGCAAAGTGTCAGGATCATGAAAGTCAATGGAAAATGAGGAACTCTTCTAGATTTAAACAGACAGAGGAAGCACGACAGTGAAATGCAATGCATTATTCTGAACTGGATTCTTCTGTTTTTAGGGATATTATGTAGGCAACCAGCAAAACATGAATGATGTAAGATGGTAGCAACATATTTCCCAATTGTGAGGGTTGGATGATGGTTCTTTAGGAGAATGTCCTACTTTAAGACTAAGTTTGATTGACATAATTCATACAATACTTTCATACTCGAGGCTTTCTTCACCATTGACTTGTATTCTGTCAGGTATCACACCTGCTTAAAACTATCCAATGACTTCATCTCTCACTCTAACTACAAGCTAAAGTCCTTTCGATGGTTCCTAAGTCACAGCGGTATAGTAGGCCCTGCTGCTACAAGCTTTGGAGAACCTGTTGTTAAAATCCTTGGAGTTCTGCAAAGCAGGTCAACTCACCTCACCAAGTTGGTAGGCTGAAGGTCATACATGGTGAAAGTATTCATACCAAAGAAATCAACAAATGCTTCAGATCAAGACTTCAGTTTGTCTTTTGTTTATTTTCATGGAGAGTAGGTTATTAAACATGTACCAGCACAATGCCATAAGATTTTTATTATGTGTTCTCCCACCTCATCCGCATCTCTCTGAACTAGGCACCCTTTCATACTCACTTTCTCTCAAAGGGAAACTGTCTCCCACCAGGTATGTCAGTTCTACACCTCACCGCTTACAGTTTAATACTCAAATGTTACTTTCTCGTTTGAAATAAAACATTGTAACTTTTTTCTCCCCATCCCTTTTTTGTTTAATTTTTTCTCCACTTCTATTAAATATATATTTATTTTGTATATTCTCTGCCAACTCTTCCCTACTGCCACCATTAGACTGTAAGCTCAACAAAGGCAGGTGTTTTTGTCTTTGTTGTTGTTACTGTTCATGGCTATATTCTCAGCACTTAGAATTTGAATTTTTGGCACTAGAGTAAGAACACATTAAACATCTGTGGATTGAATAAATGAATGGCCAAAGTTTATCACAAAATGCTAAGATGGCTTAACATAAGTAGATCTTTACATCTGTGAATGGAAACTGAGGAAACCAGACCCTTTTGAACCCACTATGGCAGGAATTAATCCATTCCTGAGAGAGAACTCACCCACCCATCTCCATGGGAGGGCATTAATCTGTTCAAGAAGGATCTGCCCTCAGGAACCATGCACCTCCCACTAGGCCCCATGTCTCAACACTGCCACATTGGGGATCAACGTGACAAAACATAGGGACAAAACACATCCAAACCATAGTAATTAGGAACAAGAACACCAATATTTACATTAATATAAAAGAGACTAAACATTTTAATTAAAACGCACAAATCATCGGAACGGATTTAAAATCACCTAACTATATATTTTTTAAAATAGCATATAGTTTTATGCTATTTTTAGAGAAATACAGTATGTTTACAGTTTTTTGCTTTATACAGAGAGACATAAGAAAGGTTAAAAGGGTAGAAAAGACACACTATGCAAACAGTATAAGTCAACAGATTTCTCATGAAGATACTGAGTTATTTTAATGGGAGAAATGATGGCCTTTTCAACTGATGGTGATAGAATAACTGAATATCCTTATACCAAAAAAATGAACTTTGATCCCTACCTCATTGCAAACACAAAAATGAATTCAACATGATCACAGATCAAAATGTAAAAGCTAAAACGATGTAACTCCTAGAAAATAAACCTGCCAAAACATCTTCACAGCCTTAAGGTAGGCAAAGATTTAAGACACCGAAAAAACTAACCCTTAAGTGGAAAAAAAAAAATGACAGAGTGGACTTCATTAAAATTTCTGTTTATCAAAGGACACTATTAAAAAAATGAAGCAGGGCATGGTGGCTCACACCTGTAATCACAGCACTTTGGGAATCCAAAGTGGGCGGATCGCTTGAGTCCAGAGTTCACGACCAGCCTGGGCAATATAGTGAAACCCTATCTCTACAAAAAGATACAAAAATTAGCTGGGCATGGTGGTGTGCACTTGTATAGCAGCTACTCAAGAGGCTGAGGTGGGAGGATTGCTTGAGCCCAGGAGGTTGAGGCTGCAGTGAGCCATGATCACACCACTGCACTGCATCCTGGGCAGTAGAGCGAGATCCTGTCTCAAAAAAAAAAAAAAAGAAAATGAAAAGGTAAGTCACAGATAAGAACAGTCATATATTCACAGGGCATTTATATGAGAAAGCTCCTGTTTTGAGACTGTATAAAGAGCTCAATTAAACAAAATAATCTGATTAACGGCAAAAAAATCAGACGATACTTTTAAAAAGAACATATATGAATTGCTAAAAAGCAAGTGAAAAGGCACTCAACATTATTAGTCATCAGTAAAACGAAAATTAAAACCACAAGATACTATTTTACACACACTAGAATGGTTCAAACTAAAAGGACTGACAATACTAAATGTAGGTGAGAATGTGAAGCAGTTGAAACTCTCATTTTTTTTTTCTGGTTGAATGTGTAAACTGGTACAGTCACTCTGGAGAATTGTTTGGTAATTTCTCACAAAGTAACACACACATCTATCCTATGACCTAGAAATTGCACTGTTTGGTACTTACCTAAGAGGAAATAAAAATGTATGTCCAGAAAAAGATTTATATGACAGTGTTATGACAGCTGTATTCATAATAAGCAAACTCCAGAAACAAGAAAAACCTCCAGCAATAGGAGAACAGATAAATGAACTGTGGTATATTCATACAATGGAAAACTTAGCAAGAAAAAGGAATGGACTACTGATATATGCAGCCACATAGATGGAAAATGAATCTCAAAAATATTATGGAAGGAATGCAGCCAGAAACAAAAAGGTATATACTGTATGAATCCATTTATAAGTAGTTCAAGAAATGGCAAAACTAAGTCCAGCAAAGTTAGGTTTCTTTTTTTCTTTTTCCTTTTTTTTTTTTTTTTTTTTTGAGACGGAGTTTCATTCTGTTGCCAGGCTGGAGTGCAGTGCCGCAACATCGGCTCACTGCAACCTCCGCCTCCCGGGTTCAAGCGATTCTCCTGCATCAGCCTCCCCAGTAGCTGGGACTACAGGCACATGCCACCACACCTAGCTAATTTTTTATTTTTAGTAGAGACAGGATTTCACCATGTTGGCCAGGATACTCTCGATCTCTTGACCTCGTGATCTGCCCAAGTCAGCCTCCCAATGTGCTGGGATTACAGGTGTGAGCCACCTGTGTAACTTGCTTAAACAAGGGGGAGTAGTCCAAGGGAACTGTGAAAGGCCCCTGGATGAGAGGAAGGGAGGGTTTGTTGTGTGTGTGTGGTTTTTGTTTTATTTCCGTAGAGTTTGGGTTCCTAATTACTCTACAAGGTGCACCAGAATTGGAGATATTTGCCCAAATTCATAATTTTTGAAAGAGAAAAATAAATACATTCAGAGTACTAAGTGTTATTCCTATTTCAAGATTGAAGAAATTCAGATTAAATTATTCTAATTTTGTGAGGAAGCTAGCATTTGAACTCAGTTCTCATGCCATATTCCAAACGGCCACACCAGATATCTGGCAGATTTAGGGAAAAGAGGAAAAAATTAAGCATCAATCTACCTGTGGCACTGTGTAATAACAATCTTAGGATTTTAACATTTAACTTACTGTTTGAAACAGCGATCACAAAGGAATACACAAGGGGACCACAAATCATTAAAACTGCTGTCAAACAAAATAGAGAACATTTTCCCTAAAAGTTATTTGTTTGTGTAGCGAATAACAAGCTCGCCGTTCTCACTGGAAAGCAGAAGATGAATAAATGAACGAGCTCCAATAAGAAGTCTGCAACCTTTCTTCAAGGTTCATTAAACTCAGTTTATTGAATGATTGTGTGGTTTCTCTGCAAAGAGCAGTTTTGGGGGGAAAGACCCGAGGTTATCTACAACACAAGAACCTCACACATAGGAACTGATCCAGTAAGCAGGATCCTGAAGAGAGGCAAACAAATCATTTTTTGCATTGTTTTGTTGGAAACGCCGGGCACTGCCAACAGTGCTTTACATCACTGTTCCTCAAATTTTAATGTGCATTTGACTCCTGGGAATCTTGTTAAAATATAAGTTCTGATTCCCTAAGTCTGGTGTGGAGCTGAGACCCTGAATTTCTAAAAAGCTACCCAAAGATACCAGACTGTCTGTAGGCGTGGGAGTGGCGGAGGCGACTACAGGGGAAAGCTTCACTTTGAGTGATTGAGAGGCTCTACGCAACTGGCAAGAAGAAACTCAAAATCCCTCGTTCAGAGAGAGACAGAGAGAGACTCACCAGCCCCCGATCCCCGGGCAGCAGTAAAGCGAGCTGGGTACTGCGCCTAGAATCCCAGTTCTTACCCCAGGATCAGCAGCGCGCTCTGCAGCTGTCTCCGCACCTCCAGAAACATGCGCGTTTCTGCCGCAGTAGCCGCCATGGCGGGCGTCCAGTCCCGGACCGGACCAAGCTGGAGATTCCGAGGGGCCCGGGTCAACAGGACCAGGAGAGGTTCCACGTGCCGACCAACCAGCAGCAGCCCCGCGTCGGCGCAGGCGCCTGTGACAGAGCTCCTGGCTGACACCGCCTACTGGCTCACAGCGCCGCCTGCCGGCCGGAGAGTACACCACCGAGAAGGCGCGGGACCCCCTGAGGCCTGGGCGGGGCGCGCATTTTCAAAACCAGGCTTTGGCCCACAGCGCTGAGAAAGGTGGGCGGCGAGAGGGGAGCTATCCTCCCACTCTGCTTCTTTTGAGCGTGACTTGGCGCGTTAGCCTCCCTGGAAATGACCATAAAAATCAGACCCAAGGTTCACTCCTTTGGCTAACTCGAACTGAGGGAAGTGATGGAGGCAGGTGTTACAGGTGGACTTTGTCCCCAGGAAATCCAAGAGCAGAATTCCTGTCCCCAAACCCACTTTATTTTGGTCTCTTTATGAACAAGGGTCATTTGTTAGCCTCTGTCTAAAGCAACAAAATTTTCAAGAATTGACTTGCCATTGCTTCTCAACTTAGGATAACTCCAGAATTGAAACAGGTGCAAAAACATGAGGAAGTTCTTTGTTACCTAATGCAAAAGAGTATGGCTGAAGTCTATCGGGACTAACTATTTTTTAGGGGGTAAAAAAGGAAGATGAGAATGATTACGTATGTACAGCTCCACTATTCACTTTCACAAAAGTAAAAACTAAGAGAAGTTGTCATCCCATTACTACTAAAAGATAGTTTTGAAAAGTTTGACACAGTAAATACTTATAATGAAAAACTATTAAAATATAAGACCAGGGTAGAATTACAATAGGACTTCTTAAAAACAAGGAACTGCTGTTTTTTGTTTTGTTTTGTTTTTAGACAGAGTCTCTCTCTGTCGCCAAGGCTGGAGTGCAGTGGCGCAATCTCGACTCACTTCAACCTCCACCTCCCGCCTTCAAGCGATTCTCCTGCTTCAGCTTCCCGAGCAGCTGGGATTACAGGTGCACACCACCATGCCCGGCTAATTTTTGTATTTTTGGTAGATCCGCCCGCCTCGGCCTCCCAAAGTGCTGGGATTACAGGTGTGAGCCACCATGCCCGGCCTAGACCATAAATAAATTCTAAATAAATAAATCCTGTCATGTTTTAAGATAATAGCTTAAGACAATTTTTCTAAAATCAGTATTTGGGGTGATTAAAGTGTATTATGTTGATGCACAAATTATTATATCTATCCCAATAATTTGAAATCATAGATGGAAGCAACAACTCACTTTAAAAAATGAAGTTTACTACTGTTTGGTCTCAAGTAATTCATTTATTTGAAGGATGATGATTTTAACTCTTCATATCTTCCTCCTTTAATATCCGAGACTATTGAATGCTTAAATATTGACACATTATATTGAAATACACAACTTCCTTAGCACAGCTTACTCTTTATAATTGTTTTGTTAGCTTAAAAGATTGTTATATATTTATAAATATACAAGCAAAAAGATTGTTATATATTACGTATTTGCAAAAACTTTCATTTTTTTACCCCATGGTGTTTGCAAAACGGTGCAATTTACCTTGGAGTAACTAGATATGATTGATAGAGCTCTAGACTCAAAATAGTTCCAAATCTGACACCAACTATTTGTCTCCTAACTTCACAAGTCTCCTAACCTCTCTGGGCCTCAGGTTACTCATATGAAATATTGAGATACTATTACAATAATTTTTAAAAGCTGTTTTCAGTTCCTATTATCCCTTCAAATGAAAACATCTGCTAACCCCCTTTCTAACCACTCCTGAAATTGGTAGCCGTGGCCGCTTCCAGCGACAGTCCACTTGAGGGCGCTGTGGCAACAGCTAGTGCCGGGAGGCAGGAAGCCGACCGGGGGCGGGGATCGAAGGCCGCAGACGTCGACGCCGGCGTGGGCGCGAGCGCGGTGCACGCTGGGAGCTGTCACTAGGCCCTTCGGCTCCCGGTCTCCGTGTAGCTGCAGTGGTTGCCAGGAGAGCGGCGCCGGCTAGGAGCGGCCGAGCCAGCAGCAGGTAAAAGCGTCCCCGCCCCCAGTGCGGTCGCTAGGCTGGTCGCCGGCTCTGAGCATCCTTCTTGGCCGGGCTAAGTCCTGAGCCGCGGGGACGCCTTGCGGGTCTGACTGCTGTGGCGTCGGGGGTGTTGCCGCTCCGGCCCCGCCAGAAGCCGCGAAACTGGTCGGCCGCCCTCTGGTTTCCGGGGAGTCGAGAGCTGCGCGGGGACTGGAGGGCTAGAGCTGGGGCCAAGGCCTGGCCTGGGCAGAGGCGCGAGGGCGGCCCCAGGTGAGGCAGGCTGGAGGCGGGGCCGGGGGCAGGTCCCGAGCCTCCCTTGCTGGCGCGGAGCTGTGCGCAAGGCTGGGGCAGAGGTCGCACCTGTGCGATGGAGGCGCGCGGAGTACCCTCTTTGTTGGAGGAGTTCAGTCGTTGTGCCTTTTCCTCGGCTGGTGGGTTCTTTTAGCATCGAGGAGACACGTAGGCCCGCGATGGTTCATGTTCTCCAGGGGGCTTAGAAAGGAGTACCGAAGTTTATTAAGAGGAAGTCAGAAGAGTCAAACGGGAGTTGTTAACAATTATCACCTTTGATTCCCAAGCCTTTTAAAGTTGCAACATAACAATAGTCACTTGTTCGGGCCTCCTCCATTCTTGTACCCTGAGGGGGCGGGAAATGGCACACAACTATTTTTCTTAAGCTAAGTACATTGTGTTTGAACATTTTTACACTACCTTAGAGTTCTATGGCGTTTGAGAAATGTAAAGATTGGGAAAATGACTTCGACTCCAGCTAAAGCAGTCAAAAAAAATGATAATTACCAAAAATATAGGAAACTGTTTGTCTAACAAATAGGCCCTGAACTGTAGAAAGACAAAAATCTGTTTTGATGTTGTTGGCCATTGTCTATGCAGACATAAGTTCTTACATTTTAATTTTGTTTCTGGGTATTAATATGGTCTACAGTGAATAACATATGTCAGCATTATGTACTAAGTAACTCACCACCTGATACATAACAGTGATTTAGGTGGGCCGACTGAAGTTATGAGTAAGTTAAAACCACGAGTAGTCTGAATGCTTTATTTTAGTGATTACTTTCGGCCACAACTGATAACTAAATCATTCTCTGTAATTGTTAAGCAGTAGCAAATCTCCACGTGGGCTTGATTATTAAGGACCTAGTGCTGAAAGAAAGAACTAAAAACACCCAATTTAATACACAAACCAGAAAATGGGATACCATAACCCAAATCTTTAAGGTACGTGCTGTCAGTTAAATGTTTGATTGTATACATTCAAAGAAGTCCTATTTTGTAGTTAAAGTAACGGAGCGAGCTCTGGCCTAGGCAATGAAGAGATTCGATTCAAGTCCTTTAGTCTGCTACTAGCCAGGTGTGATCTCTGGGCTTCGGTTTTGTCATCGTTTAAGGAAATTTGAAAAGACCAGGGTTTTCCAAACTGATATTTCCCCCAGAACAGTGTTCTAAAGCCGTTTAATAGGCTTACTTCCCCCAAAGCAGTGTTCGTTGTCAATTAACTTGGGAGCACACTAGGTTAAGCTAGGTTAAACTTTTTTGCTTATAAAGGCAGGACTCTTCAAAACCTTTACTGTTATGCTGATACATGTAAATCTCCAGGTTATCCTAGCATTCCCAAACTTACCTGATCTATTTTCTCATGGCCAATTGGTTAACAACTCTTAGAATATAATTACATACAATATAAATTTAAAAACTGCTGTACTTGAGCTGAGTCCTCTTCAACTGTAAAGGTCCATGCATTAGGCTTATTTTTTGGCTGTCATTTAAAGCTTTTTGGAGCATGAAGATCTAGTGGCAACTCACTTATATAAGAAAAGAATTATATTTATCTTAGTAAAATATTAAGAATACAATTAAGTTCCCCTGAGTCTTAATGCTTTAATTATTGGCAGAAGAGTTATCGTATTCTGCTTTTGTTACTTTTTTTTTTTTAACTATAATTCATGTTTTGAATTTTATTTTATGGTGGAGTGGAGTTATTGATTTTATTCAAAATGGCATTTTAAAGTTCCAAAAAGTGAGGACTTCTTGATAATGGCATCACTTTTGTTATGATGATTTCTCCTTATAGTCATGAATTCCTAAAATGAAATTGTGGTAGAAACCACCCAAAATGTGCTTACTGTGTAATAACTACATAATTTTAAGAGCTTATATCATGGAAAAGAGCTAAAGGCTAAAACACAAATTCTGAGACAGTTATTTCTAAATTGCTTTACAAACAGGATGTGTGCTGAACACAATCTTAAACTGTTTTGCTAAAGTCTGTTAAGTGTCACTATTACCCAACCAATGTGGATATTCTGTTCATTATTTGTCACTTTCTTAGCGGGAATGCTGTTAATGCACAGTTTTGCTTGGGGATAAGAGAGGTGGGAATAGAATATGTAATTTTAACAGATAAGTGTTATTTCAGGTAAATTATCTCCCTGAAATAAAACTATGAAGTAGAAATGTTAAGCTAATATTTTTTGTGTAATAGCTAACAGTTTTTATTGAGAATTATGTGAAAATACGATCCCTTTGTCTTTAATTGGCGGTTTCCCTTTTTCATTTATCGTATTTACTTCCTCCTCTCCAAGCTATCCAAGCCTTTAATCTCAATGACCTTTCATTGCATTGGTCGATGATACAGTATCAGATTTATTAAGGAAAAATTTATATACACAGATGTACATTCATTTAAGTGTACATTTCAATAAGTTTTAGTAGATATATATGCACCCATGTAACTACCACCACAATCAAGATTTGGAAGATGCCACCACTCAGGCACATATTGTTATACTTTTACTCTCAGAATGTCCTCCTGTTTCTGAGTGTCTAAATTATACCTGTCTTTTAAGACCTTGCTCAAATGCCTACCCTGTGAACCTTTTTTTTGATTACCTCATTTTGAATTAATTTCCTCCTCTTCTGACTTTCCTGTTCACATTTTTTTTTTACATTCTTCTCCGTTCTTTGTGGTGGCTAACCCAGTGGCGAACGTATAGCCGACACTTATTTGTTGACCAAATGGATTAAG